CCTTCTCTCAGTCCATTCTCCACCCTAACATTTGCTGAGTACTCACCATGTCCCATCACTGAATTAACATGCTTTGGCTATGTTATTTTACTGATTCCCTGTTAGGTCCCCTCATTCATCTGGAAAAGAGACCTGTGGTCAGAAATCAATTACTTATCTATTAAACTGGGTGTATAGCTCAGTTAAGAGGGGGGGAAACCCTCACAATGAGGGCCTGAGTTTTCCAGGTGAAAAGGCAGGAACAGCTCTCTCTGGAAGTTGTTGGCTCTGTGTACTAGATCACTCTGGCGCACTACCTCCCAGTCCAGGCACCCAACTCACTGAAGGCCAAGGCGTTGGCGCCGGCGTGGGACACAGGAGTTCTACATCTAGCTGTGCCAGCAAGGCTTGGGTGCCCACACTGTGAGCACCACACGTGGCTTGTCTCATCTCTCATTGTTCCTGTGTTCCTCGGCCCCTTGCCCCCATGTTCTACTTTTGTTTTCTGGAACATTTCACTCTAATAGAATGAATAGGACCCCAGTTTGTCTCAAGCTGGGTATACTGAGCCCCAGTCCCCTGTTGGAAGTGGCCAGTTAGAATAGGCATTATCAAATCAAGGCCCTGTCCAGGACCAGACGCAGACTGTAATGCAGCTTCCCAGGCTTCTGTTGGGTGGTCTCTTGGCTTTGAGGACTGTTAAGTACCCAGTTGACCTGCATGAGAATATCTTAGTAATGTATGATAGAAATCTGGATACCAAAAATGAATATTCACCCAACATCTTGGCCTTTAGTGAGTTGGGTGCCTGAATTGGGAGTTATTACACAGAATGATCTAGTACATAGGTCCAATAATTTCCAGAAGAGTTTTTTCTTGCCTTTTAATTGTGACTAGCTCAGGCCTGCCCTGCTCTCAGTTTGAGCTTTTTTCTTCTTTCTTTTCTTTTTTCAAAAAAACATACTGGACTTCCAGTTTAACAGATCTACCTGATTTCTGACCAGGAGTCCCTTTTCTGCACAGATGAGGGCACCCAACAGGGAATCAATGAAATAAGCAGATGCAGAGCATATAACACAGTGCTTGGCACATAGTGGGTTATATTAGTTTCCTATTGCTGCTGTAATGAATTACCATAAACTTAGAGGCTTAAACAAGACAGATTTTTTATTTTTCAGTTCTGGAGATCGGAAGTGCTAAAATCAAGGTATCAGCAGGGCTGCATTGTTTCTGAAGGCTTTAGGGCAGCATCCGTTTCCTTGCCTTCTCCAGCTTCTAGAGGCTGCCTGCATTCCTTGGCTTGTGGCCCCTTTATCTTCGTGGCCAGTAGCATAGCATCTTCGTGTCTCTCTTTCTAACCTCTATTTCTGTCTTCATGTCTCCTTCTCTGACTCTGATTCTCCTGCCTCCTTCTTTTTATAAAAATTTTTTTATTGAGATAAAATTCACATACATAAAATGCACCATTTTAAAGTGTACAATTCAGTGGTTATTAGTATATCCACAATTTGTGCGACCATCACCACTAATATCAGAACTGCCTCCCTCTTATAAGGACTTTTATGATTACATTGGGCCTACTCAATAATCCAGGATAATCTCCCCATCTCAGGATTCTTAATCACATCTGCAAAGTCCCTTTTGCCTTGTAAGGTAACATATTCACAGGTTCTGGGAGTAGGATGTGGACATTATTGTGGGGCCATTATTCAGCTTACCCCATGGGTACTTAGCAAATGTTAGTTTCTTTTGACCTTACCTTCTCAATTCTGATACACTAAGCTCTTGAGGTAGTATAAACTTCTAGAGTCTTCATCATCATCACAATCCTCTGAGCACTGATCTCAAGAAACCTGATGACAACAATAGCTCCAGTAATAGCTATTGTTCATTGAGCACTAGTGTGCACCGGGTCAGTTACTAGGGGCTTCAGATGCGTTGTCATTTAGCTTTTCATGAGCTGAATTGCTCCTTCTGTCAGTATCCATCCACATAATACCATAAGTATGAAGTTTAGCCTCACACCTTGAGGAGGTGTGCTATGATGTAGCAGGCAGTGACTTCTGGCTGGATGTTCATGGACTATAGATTTTCTCTAAATTGGGAGATCAAAACAGTTGCTAGTGTTTTCTAGAAAGTTAAACAGATACCATATGACCCAACATCTCCACTCATAGGCATTTACTGAAGAGCAGTGAAAGCATATGTCCACACACAGACTTGTGCTCAAATGTTCATAGCAGCATTATTCACAGTAGTCCCAAACTGGAAACAGCCCAAATGCCTATCAGGTTGTGAATGGATAAACAAATTGTGGTGTATCCATATAATGGAATACTACTCAGCAATTAAAAGGAACAAACTACTGGTATACGCAACAATATGGATGAATCACAAAAGCATTGTACTAGGTGAAAGAAACCAAACACAAAAAGCTACATAATGACAGTGGGAATGCACATGACACTACTGAACTGTTCACTTAAAAATGGTTAAATGGTGAATTTCATGTTGTGTACGTTTTACCACAATTTTATTAAAAAGCAATGTAATGTATGATGTTCTGTTAATATGAAATTCTAGAAAAGGCAAAACTTTGGTGACAAAGCATATTTAGTGACTGTCAGAGATCAGAGTTCAGGGAAGGATTGACTATAAAAGGGCATGAGGGAACTTTTTGGGGTAATGGAAACATTCTATGTCTTGATTGTAGTGGTGGTTATGCAACTATGTATACATTTGTGAATTGAATTGTACGTGTAAAGTTGGTAAGTTTTATTGTTTGTAAATTATAACTCAATACTGCTAATACAAAAAAAGAGAGGAGAAAAAATGGCTAGAAATTTGAGGGAGTTAAAAAATTCTGTCTCCTAGTAAATCATTAGAGGGTTTTTGTCTGCTGTTTTACAAAGCTTGTGTACCAGATCATAAGTAATAAGATAGAGGAGAATATGTTGTCTTTTCCCCCCTCACTGGGTTACATGAATCTGCAAACAACACCTAATGCATTTAGGGTCCACAAAATTACTTAAAACTTGCCTAAGTGAGAATATTATGAACAATCAATATTCCTAGAGGTCGGAGAAAGTGGAGTATGTGCTGTGTCCTACATGTGGTTTCCTTTTTGCCACCCAGAGGGATGATTCAGTTGAGATATTCTGTTGCACCTTTGATGTCAATTTAGTTTTGGCTTGAAAATTTTTAAATAACATAAGGTTGATGAAAGTACCACGTCTATATCTCTTTTCATTGACCACCCCCCTGCCCCAGTTCTAGTCAGATTCTGTGCTTTTTTTCTTAGACTTGATTCTCATTAATCTCTCTGTGGTATTTGATATTATTATCTCCTGCTCTCAAAAGCTTCTTTCTCCCTTGGTCTCTGGGAATAGTATACTCTAGTGGTTTTCTTTCTACTACAGAAATGATTTCATTATCTCTTTGGCTGGTGTATCTTTGTCCTTGGATCCCTTGTGAGAATGGAGCCCATTGCTCCATTTTCTCTACTCTTGCCCCTTGGGATATCTTATCTTTTTCTATGATTAATCCATTCTGGCGCATCTCAGATGTCTTATCTCTAGTTCTCTACTAAGCCTTGGCTCTTATTTCCAGCTACCTCAGGGTATTTTCATCATCCTTGTTTCTTACCATTGCCCAAACTAAATGTATTCCCTTTTCTTCCATGTCCTCTCCTGTTCTGGGCTTTTCTGTGTCTTTGAGATACTGTCATTCTTTTCCCCTCAGGTTTAAAACCTGAAGCTCTGCCATTTTCCTTTTCCTCTGTCTCCTCTATTTAGTAACTGTTCAGATCTTTTATATTTCCTATGGGCTATCTCCTTTACTTTCAGTCTTTTTGACACCACTTTAATCTGTGTCTTTATTGTCAGAGGTCACATGGTACCTTTAAGACATTCTTGAGTGAAAGGTGTTGGTTGGGATGACAAAGAAGGTTTCACGATTTGGGAGCCACTCTGTCACCAAATCCATGTCTCAGAACCCTCTTAAATGACTGAAGCACTAGATTCCAGGGCTTGGCTTTGCTACAGTACACTTCTTGGGATGCTTTGGAAAAGCTTGGTCTTTCCTTTTGTGTGTACATTGTCACCTTTGCTGCCACGGTCTCTGCTTTTTCCATTGCAGACGGCTTTTCCTTCTCGTGAGTATATGAGTATGCCTCCCCCGTGCCCCGCAGATTCCTGGTTTTTGTAACTTCGGAATACCTTGGGATAACTTAAGGTTTGCTGCCTTGGTGCTCTCTGAGAAGTTCCTTATTTCTCCTCCATACACAGTACCACGTTAATAATCGTCCAAGCAAAAGCAAAAATGAAGTGCCTGAGATTGCAGATTTTCGTGTACTTCATTCCTGTTAATCACCAAATGTGTGTGTCTGTTTTTACCCCTCTTGTATTTTCCTCTCTGATTTTGCTTTGGAGTTAATAAGATTTTTCTTTCCATAGATTCTCTCCCAATGACTGGCATTCTTTGGTAGCATTTGTAGAAGTTACTTTGTAGGCTTGGTTGCATAGTTGAAGACGTGAGAAAATTTTGTTAATGAGAAGAAAGACCCATGAAATTCAAGTTATATTATCCCTCACTTGGCTCTTCCCAGAGGATAGAGCTGGCCACAGCCTGGATTTCTTAGAGTTTAACTATATCCTCAGCTATATGATGTTCACACTCAATTTTCTTTCTATTAATTTTGGCAGTGAAAAATCTGCTTTAGAAGTGAAAAGTGGATGAATTATTTCAGCGAATAGGGTATTTTAAGGTGTTTTCTTTCAGTTATTTTTTCATCAGAGAGAAATTTAAAGAACAGTTTAGTAAATGCATTTCAAGGTTTTAAAATAAGATCTTTATCTGTCTTTGAAACAAATGAAAACACCATTCTCAGGCCATTGGAAAAATGGAAGCTATTATCAGATTTGGAATGAAGCAGCCAGAAGCCGAGAAATGTTGATTTTTCTGAATCACAATATGATCGATCCTGTGTTTATTTATTTTCTCTTTATCTTTGGGCATTCTAGAGGGGTGTTTGATGCTTCCCTCAAAATGGCTGGCTTCTATGGATTGTATACCTGGCTGACTCATACTATATTTGGCATCAATATTGTCTTCATACCATCAGGTAACAACTGTATCATGACTTTTCTCTGTCCTCTGTTTAAAGTTAAGCCATTTTACATATGTTGGGAAATGTCATCTTTCTCAAATTTTAAAATAGTAAATTTTGAAATCTATTCCAGATTAGGACCAGAAATATGATTTGTAATGTTTATTTATTGCTGCATCCCAGTAGCAAGACTAGTACCCAGCACATAGAGAGCACTGCATCAGTATTTGTTAAATGAGTGAATGTCCTGGCACTTAGCACAGCACCTAGCACATAATTGGTATTCAACAACTGTTTGACTTGAACTGATTGGCAAGGAGCAGTGAGTTGTCAAATAGTTTTGTCCCATGAAACGTATGGCCGGGGGGCAAGATGAATGCCTATGAGGGCCCATAAGCTGTCTGCACACCTCTTCAGATGTATTCTGATAATACCCCGGTTCCATAAGCACCAGGATGGTTTAATGAATGTCTTTTGCTTTTCCTCTATGTTATCTCTGCTCCTCTCCTTCTGCTTTTGCTTCCTTTATTTCTGTGGCTACTTGTCTTCCTAAAAACATCTGCCTTCCACATTTACCGTTTTTCCCCCTTCTGTCTGTGCCCCCTTACTTCTTTACATTCCCAAGTTCATTCAAGTTCTTTCCTACTTCAGTGTCCACTAAGCCACCCTCTGACATGCAAGCAGCCTGAGAGCACATGGAGGTGGTTGTTTCATAACAACCCTGTGAGGCAGGCAGGGTAGGTGGTGTCCTTGTTGTGTAGATGAGAAACCACTGTTTTCCAAGATCACATACCTGGTTTTTTTTTTTTTTTTTTTTTTGTGAGGATATCAGCCCTGTGCTAACATCCGCCAATCCTCCTCTTTTTTTGCTGAGGAAGACGGCCCTGGGCTAACATCTGTGCCCATCTTCCTCCACTTTATATGGGACGCCACCACAGCATGGCTTGCCAAGCAGTGCGTCGGTGCGCGCCCGGGATCCGAACCAGCGAACCCCGGGCCGCCGCAGCGGAGCGCACGCACTTAACCGCTTGCGCCACCCGGCCGGCCCCCACATACCTGGTTAATGTTAGGACCAGAACTAGAATCCATGTCTGCTTGTCTTTTAGTCTGGAGAGGAGCCGAACTCTCTCTAGAGTGCTTGAACCTACATAGTGCTCTGGAAGGGGGCAAGCGTGAAGTTGAGGTCTTTCAACTAGCAGAGTTTTTTTTTTTTTTTAAATTACATTTTATTTTTATTAGAAAGAAGCAAGGTAAAGAATATACGTTCATATTTGAGATTTAGAAACTAATTTCTGGTTTGGCTTTGGACTCAGTACAAATTTTGACCAATGCTCTATAGTTATATTATAGGACTGTGTATTAACTAAGCATTGATTCGGAATAACAACTACAGGACGCTAAAATTTTGTTGCTTAAAAAAACAGATTCATCAAGTAGACACACACTTTAGAAAGATTTCCATATCAAATTTTAAGATATTGGACCTTCTATAACTAGCAGATGCAGTTAAACAGGGCATATCATTCCCCTAAAATTTAAATTTGTATTTGTTTAACTTGTTTTGGTGGACGTTTTTAAGTGGGAGGAGCTAGTGCTTAGATTCTGCTGTTTTGTTGTTGTTTTGATGATGATGATAAATTGCTCTTCTTCTTGTAATCTTTTATTAGCTTTAGCAGCAATCCTTGGAGCAGTGCCGTTTCTGGGAACATACTGGGCAGCAATACCAGCAGTTCTAGACCTGTGGCTTACACAAGGCTTAGGATGCAAAGCCATCTTACTGTTGGTTTTCCATCTCTTGCCAACGTACTTTGTAGATACTGCCATCTATTCTGATATATCAGGGTAAGTTTTCCACAGAACTTCTGAAGTTGCTGGTGAATCATAGCCTGGGATTTCTGTGGCCTTTTTAAAGGAGGTTTTTTTTCTTTCAAAGATAGGAGAAAGGACAAGTGGTGGGATTTTTAAGTGAAGTAGTCTTTTGCGATCTCACTGATTTAATCAAAGTTTAATTTAATATGATTAATATCATTTGCAAGGTATACTATTTTGTTATTATATAAATATTATTTACAGTATATGAGACCCTAGGTTAAAATAAAATTGTGAATAATCTTCTGATTTAGTGACATTTAACCTAGGCAAGAACTGTTACTAGATATATGTAAAATATTTTAAGTACAGTAATGAGTTAGTGGTTATTTTCAGAACTTCTTTGCTTTTGGAGTAAAACATCAGGTTGTATGTCTGAGGATTTCCATGTAAAACCAGATCTTATCAATGTAACGTCTGACAAGCAGAGCTCTCTTACTTAAGATAATGTAGTATGGTTCTGTGATGAATACAGGTTAAATTTAAGGCAGAAGTCAGACTTTTGCCATATGATATAATACATAAAGTATCTGTCTGTTTTTGTAGGTTTTGATATCTCTTTTAGAAATTGCATGAAGTAAATCAAGCCAATTCTCATTTAGTCATTTAGTCTCATTCTCATTAAAATAAGGAATATCCAGATTCACATTGCTTATTTTAATCTAGGATGTGACCAAATGTTGAATTTTGATGAGCTACTCAAATTCAGAATGTTAGGACAGTCCTACTGAAACTATCATAATAATTAATGTATTAAATTTTCTTTAAGTAAAACTCACAATCACAATAAGAGTAGACGGGGTCTAAGTTTATAGAGAGAGTACCCTTCAGTTAATTTGAAATTATGTAGAGACAAATTGTTTGCCACCTTGCTTCCTCTCTAGTAAGTTACAGTAGGAAGTCAATGATGTAGAACTACTCTGAAGCCCTGAAGTTCCAGAGCAAAAAAGAAACAAGCAACTAAATAAGCAAGCCTTAGGGGAACTTCTATGCCTAAAACTTGAGAGAGAAAGTTAAAGATGAAAGGAGAACATCAGGGTGTGGTTAATGTGTTTAGCAGTTGAGATTTAAACAGTAAACGGTAGTTACGTGATTTATAGTTAACTGCTTTCATTTCTTTAAACTTCGCTATAAATTTTACATTAAGGTTTCTAGCTCAAATTGAAGACTTACATGTGGTTTTTATTTATTTATTTATTTTTTCCCCCAAAGCCCCAGTAGACAGTTGTATGTTACAGCTGCACATCCTTCTAGTTGCTGTACGTGGGACCCGGCCTCAGCATGGCCGGAGAAGCGGTGCGTCGGTGCACGCCCGGGATCCGAACCCGAGCCGCCAGTATCGGAGCGTGCGCACTTAACCGCTAAGCCACGGGGCCGGCCCCTACATGTGGTTTTTTCTTAATAAAATAATACCTTATTTAACCAGCATCAATAGGAAATGAAACATTTTGCATAAATTGTTTTATTTGTTTAAATTAAGCTTTTATTTAAAAGCTCCTACACTTTTTCTTAAGCTTTCAGCATTTTTTATAGAAATTCTCTTTAAAATGTATTGTTTAGGGAAAATGCTTTCTTACATAGCATACATGGAATACTGCCCTAAATCCTTTTTTGGAATGAGGAAGACAAATAAATTATGAATATAATGTATTGGTTTCCTGAAAACTGGCTCACCTTAAATGTTACTTATTGACCTATAATATAATACAAGACATCCTTCCAGAATTTTTAGTTATTTGCCCCTCACTACATTGTTCTAATCATCTGTGTTTAAAAACTAGAAACAAACAGAACATACCTTATTTCCAAGTCCCTTTTATGTCAGTGGTCATTTGTTATCATTATCAATGTGCTGTGCTGCTGTAATCTACCTTATTTCGTTCCAGTTATGTAAGTGATAGTGAAATAAAAATCTTGGGTTTTGTGACAGATATTTTCCTCATGAGGCCTGCGTTAAAAACTATATTTTAGGGCCGGCCTGGTGGCTTAGCGGTTAAGTGCGTGCACTCTGCTGCTGGCGGCCCGGGTTCGGATCCCAGGCGCGCACCGACGGACTGCTTCTCTGGCCGTGCTGAGGCTGGGTCCCACATACAGCAACTAGAAGGCTGTGCAACTATGACATACAACTATCTACTGGGGCTTTGGGGAAGAAAAAAAAGGAGGAGGATTGGCAATAGATGTTAGCTCAGAGCCAGTCTTCCTCAGCCAAAAGAGGAGGATTAGCACGGATGTTAGCTCAGGGTTGATCTCCCTCACAAAAAAAAAAAAAAAAACAACTATATTTTAGGAGGTTGTCAGAAGTCTAACCTGTGAATAACAGAGATGCTATTATATTGTTGTCATCTTATAAAAAGCATAATTAATTGAGTTACATGCTAAATTGTGCCCACTTAATTATCCTCGACGGAGGTAAACCTAACAGGTGACTTAGATAACCAGTCCTAAGCCAACATTAACCCATCTCAGGCAGCCACTTAATGGGTGCAAGGTAACCTTAACAATTGAACTTTACTCCTTCAGATGCTGGACCTATAAAAAGGCAAATGTCACACATGTTATGTAGGCGGAAGAATTCTTGCATTTTGATATTATTACAATCAATGTTCAGTTATCTGCATTGAGATAATCTAAAGAAAGCTGATAATGCATCAAAAGCCTGGTGTATTAGAGAATGAACACTGTGTTAAAGAATGTATTTCAGATTTACTCCAAGGTTTCTGCTTGTTAAAAGTCATGAGCTAATCTGTGTGCTCTCCATTCCAGAGGTGGCCATCCTTACTTGACAGGCTTGGCAGTGGCTGGCGGAGCATACTACCTAGGCCTGGAAGGAGCAATCATCGGGCCCATACTTCTCTGCATACTTGTGGTCGCTTCCAATATCTATAGTGCCATGCTAGTGAGTCCCACAAACTCAGTGCCCACGCCAAACCAGACCCCATGGCCTACTCAGACTCAGCGGTGAGTTAAAGCAGAATGATCATAAACTGTGTGTGAATTTGAATTATCCAGTCTCTGTATTTTTGACCTGTGTAGTCTTACAGGTATTTCAGTGCCCGTGCTCTGCTCAAGATTGTAAAAGACACTAAATAAATAGAAATAATTTGTTTGCAGACATTTGGGCTTCGTATACCAGGAACATTTAAAAACTAAGTTGGGTCAGAATTGTTAATGTCATGAAAGACCAAAAATAAATAAAAAATATAAAAGACTGTTTGGGGACATGGTATAGTAGATTAAAGGAGACTCAAGAAATAGGACAACCAAATGCAATGCATGAATTCGTGACAGGATCCTGGATAAGGGATGAGAAGCCTCTATGAAGAACATTTCTGGAACAATCAGAGGATTTTGAATGTGGACCAGATATTGAATAGTATTATTATATCAATGTTAAGTTTATTAAGCATGATAATGATAACTTTGGTTGTGCAGCAGAATATCCTTTAGGGGTGAGATGGCGTGGTGTCTGCAGCTGATTTTCAAATAGTTCACCCAAAACTGAGATGGGAGAAAGTAACTGTAGCAAAATGTTAACAATTGGTGAATGTAGATAAAGGATGTATGGTTGTTAATTGTACTAGTCTTTCGATTTTTCTGTAGGTTGATACTTTTTCAAGATAAAAAGTTGGGAAAAAATTACTTGAGTGCACCAGTATGGAGTTACAACTTGTTATTTTCCAAGAACAGACATTGAAATCATAATTGCTGTCATCTGCTTTCACTCACATTTCATAAAATAAATTATAATGTAATATAAGTTATAATTTTAAAAATGTTCCTGATTGTGTCATAATTTTAAAATCTTTTATTCGGGTATATCTTAGACGTGATGAAATGCACATCTTAAATGTACAATTTGATGATATTTTTCATATACCCATATCAAGATATGGAATATTTCCCTTTCTCTAGAAGGCTTCCCCATACCCCTTCTCAGTCGGACCCCTTCTCTGCTAATAATCTCACCAGCGTCACTTTAGATTAGTTTTGCCTGTTTTTGAACTTCATATAAAGGGGTCATGTAGTATGTACTCTTGAGTCAGGTCTCTCTTTCTCAACATCAGATCTGTGAGATTCACCCATGTTGTTGCATATAGCAGTTCATGCTTTTTTCTTTGCTGTCTAGTATTCCAGTGTATGCCTTTATTTAATCATTGTAGTATTGGTGGACATTTGGTAGTTTCCAGTTTCTGACTGTTATGAATCAAGGTGCTGTGAACTTTCTTGTGCAAGTCTTTTGGTGGACATGAGTACTTACTTCAGTTGAATATATACCCAGAAGTAGAATGGCTGGTTATACATCTGGTTTAACTTTTGTGCATACTTGCAAAACAGGTTTTCTATGTGGTTGTACCAGGAATTACATTTTAACAACAGAAAAAGTAAGAAGGACTTTTAACAACGAAAAAGCAAGAAGTCTCAGATTAAAGGATTTTAACTTTGCAGAGACTAGACTGCATTGTCTTTATTATTCTCAGTTGGAAAATAATGTTTCCTGCCATTGCGTATTCTAGTGTAATTGAGGAGTCATTAGCAAGTTGATTCTGAAAATGTATTTAATGAAACTTATATTTTTATTTTAAATTCTTGAAAAATGTGATTCTTCTTTTTTTAAGTGTTATATTTTGTGAAGAAAGACGTCCTTTAACTCAGAACAAGGAGAATAAAGTTTCTGAGTTAGAGCTGGTTGGTTAGAGGGCCATTTTAGCTAATGCAAGACCCTTACTTGATGGCAGGGAAAAATCAGCTCCTTATAAGAATAAAAGGAGAGGATGTACTTAGCTGTTTTTAACGAAGGCTTCAGTGACTTTGGGGATGGGGACATTGTAATATCCTTTTCTGCCTTTGGCTCTTAAGAGTGGGTACTTGGGTACCTGAGAAGCCAGTGGACAGTACGTGAAAGCAGTAGAGAGCACTTGCCAACTGGATACCCTACCTCCTTGGGCTCACCAAACAAGAAGCAAAAAAAGAAAATTGGTTGACCAATATTTTGCTATTATTTTAGGGGAAACTTTTAATGATTCCAAGTTAGTAAAGCAAGAGTTAGTTGTTTTTGGTTTTTTTTTGTTTTTGTTTTTTTACTGAGGAAGATTCACCCTGAGCTAACATCTGTGCCAGTTTTCCCCTATTCTATATGTGGGTTGCTGCCACAGCATGGCTGCTGATGACTTGGTGCCCTGGGAACTGAACCTGGGCCACCAAAGGGGAGCACGTCGAACTTAACCACTAGGCCACTGGGGCGAGCCCCAGGAGTTAGATTTTAAGGTGAAACAAAAGAAACTAATATGAATACCTCTAAAGGCAAATGACCTTTTTCTCCTTGTCCCCTTCTGAAGGTAGAAGGTTGTTAATTAGGTGGTATGGGGGGGTTGAAAAAAATAATGTGAGGACCCGTATAGCCGTCATCTTTTTTTCCTTCAAAGTTATTTATGCATGTAGTTTAAAGAGTCAAAAATTTCTACAAAGCTTGTGAAGAGTAGCAGTCCTTTGCCTTCTCCCTGCCCCACCTCTCTCCCCTTAAGAGGAACCACTTTTCGACTCAATTTGGTCTTGACCTCTATATCTTGAAATAACATGTTTATTTCTTGATTTTTTTCATGTGTAGGCATTATCTATTTACTTCCCTCTTGGTAAGTGAGAAATTCTCTCTTTTACTACCCATCCTCCCAATATTAAACTGTGATACTGGCTAGATCAATATTTAGTGTTTAGTTTATTATGACTGTTGATTATATTCATATTTGAGCCTCCTCCTATATTCTGTCTATATTTCCTTGCCTATATAACTTTTTACTTTCCTTTGAGTTATAAAGATACTGTTTTTTATTTGCTTTGTTTTCTGTGGACTTACATCTCCGTTCCTTCAGTATGTTGAGTATGTTGGGTTGCATCTGGTATGTTGCAAGTTGTAGCTTCCTGAATAAGTTGCTCATGGAGTCTTCTGATTTGCTACAGCAGAGTGCTGTCCTCTTGCCTGCTGTGCAGCTGGACCCTGGAGATTCCCTCAACTCCCCTCTGTTGGAATCCTTGTTTCCCATAGGATTTCTCCTATCATTTTCTTTCTTGATTTATTCCCTCTTTTTGGTGGAGCACATCCTCCTGTAGATTTTTGGGAAAGAATGCGTGGGAGGGGGCTGGCCCCGTGGCTTAGCGGTTGAGTGCGCGCGCTCCGCTGCTGGCGGCCCAGGTTCAGATCCTGGGCGCACACCGATGCACTGCTTCTCCGGCCATGCTGAGGCCGCGTCCCACATACAGCAACTAGAAGGCTGTGCAACTGTGACATACGACTATCTACTGGGGCTTTGGGGGAAAAAAATTAAAAAAAAATTAAAAAAAAAAAGTGCATGGGTGGTAAATTTTGGGGGACACTGCATGTATGAAAAGGCTTTTTCTGGGGGCTGGCCCTGTGGCTTAGTGGTTAAGTGCGCGCGCTCTGCTACTGGCTGCCCGGGTTGTGATCCTGGGCGCGCACTGACGCACCACTTATCTGGCCATGCTGAGGTGGCGTCCCACATACAGCAACTAGAACGATGTGCAACTATGACATACAACTATCTACTGGGGCTTTGGGGAGAAAACGGGGGGGGGGGGGAAGGAGGAGGATTGGCAATAGATGTTAGCTCAGGGCCAGTCTTCCTCAGCAAAAAGAGGAAGATTGGCATGGATGTTAGCTCAGAGCTGATCTTCCTCAAAAAAAAAAAAAGAAAAGGCTTTTCCTAAAGTCATGCATCGATAGCTTGTGTGGGCAGAGAATTCTATGTTTGAAAAGTTTTTCTTTTAGAATGAATGTCATCTTCATTGTCTTCTAGCTTCCACGGTTGTTGTTAAAAGTCTGAAGCCATTCTGAGTCCTGATTCTTTGTAATTTAACTGTTTGAAAGCCTATAGGATCTTCTTTTGTTTTGTTTTATCTATTTTTTTTGTTCTGATTGGTACTTGATAAGACCTTTAAAACCAGAAACTTACGTTCTGCAGTTCTGAAATTTTTCTTGAATTATTTCATTAATGATTTCCTTTTCTGCCGTTCAGAAACTTCTTTTAATGCTGACCGTCAGACACTGGTCATCTTATCTTTTCTTTGCTGTTTTTCTATTTGGATCCATTTTCTGGGTGATTTATTCAAACTTATCTTCTAACCCCTCCATAGAGGTTTCCATTTCTGCTATCATATTTTTTCAGTCTGGTTTATTGAGGTGTTATTTACATAAATAAAATTTACTTTTTTAGTATACAGGGTCTTTATTAGTTTTCTAAGATATGTAACAAATTACCACTAACTTAGTGGTTTAAAACAAAGTACACTTATTATATTAAAATTTCCATGGCTTGGGAGTCCAGGCACAATTAAGCTGGGTCTTGTGCTTAGAGTGTGACAAGGCTGCAGTCAAGGTGTCAGTTGGGGCTGGGGTTTCATCTGTGGATTGGGATCCTCCTCCAAGCTCTCTTGTTGATGGCAGAATTGGTTTTCCTGCAGTTGTAGAACTGAGACTTGCATTTCCTAGATCTGTCCCTCTCTGTAGGCAGATCATAACATGGTTGTCTGCTTCTTCAAGGCCATCAGCAGAGTATTTTTCTGACTTCTGTTTCTGGCTGCTAAGACCCTTTTTTAAAAGGCTCACCAGATTAGTCTTGGCCCATCCACCATACTCTCCTTTTTGATTAAAGTCAACTGATTAGGGACCTTAATTACATCTGCAAAATCCCTTTGCTTTTTCCATATTAACACAACAGAATCATGATAGCAGATGTTTTTGTCTATTGGCTCATATTAAGAGTAAGACACTCAGGAGCTGTGGGCTGGTTATTATGTGTGTTACTGTTATATAATCTGGCAGAGCCGTTGTCTTGTGCAACCTTTGATGTCAGTGCTTTTTCATCCCCCTTTTGGGCTGGTACATTCCTCAGAGAAAGATCTAATCTCCTGCCTAGAGTTTGACAGCTTGGCTGCCATCATCCTGG